ATCCAGAGTCTTGACCGTTTAGCGTTAGCCGTTAGCTTCACCAGTCGATCACACGGTCACCTGGTTTCTGCGCACTCCAGCTGTTCTATAAGACCTCCCTGACATGAGCCCACCTGTCTGACAGCTGAAGCTTGGACCAAACCAGATTAGGGCTTTCTTCAAGACCTTTGTAACATTTTACATGTTTTCACTGTATTTTTAGTTATTTAGTGCCAGAAAGCCTTGCCTGAAAAGCACAGGATGCTTTTTGCAGCTGCAGCTGTAGTTTATGTACRAAGCTGCTGCTGAATAAATAAATCATATCTGACACAGTTTACATGCTAGACCTAAAACCACTCTTGGGTTGAACTCCATCAACCCTCCTGACTCGCAGTAATTATTCATCAGCGGCTCCGGTTCTTCGCACCGTTTGGCTGCGCTGCTGTTAGGTGTGGTGGAGATAACCTCCTCCACTCACTCATCTTTTGCCTCTGTTGCTATGGCAGCGCCGTCGTACACTCCACCATGTATTATTAGTTAGCTGCGAGGATGTCAGGATGACACTGCCGTCTAATCAAAGAGCATCAAGTTTGCCGTTCGCATCCTGAAAGCTTGATTTTTGTGCAGAACGAGGGAGAGCACAGTGAAAAGAATTAATAAAGTCAACTCCACATGGTTTTTTAAAATSATTTTTAAGCCAAGAAATGACATTTTTTACTTCATCTCAGCACTCAGCTTGTGTCTACATRTTAAACTTCTGCATTTTTAAAACTAAAAATTATGTACTTATTGCACTTTTCAGACAGGGATACTAATCCTAGACTGAGTCCTGCCACAACCAGAAATTATTCTTCAATTGCAGCCAAAAATTTAAACACAGTATTGGACCATTAAAAAGAGCCACAGAGGGTAACTTAAAGCCTATATTGGAGCAGAACTCCTGTCAGAATGTCTATTATAATCCCCCATGTCTGTTTGTCTGTTAGCAAAATGTCTCATGAACCAGAGATTTTCCTGAAACTTCTACAAAGATGTACATCTACAGCTTATTCATTATAAAAGCAAATCAAATTTAAGATGGCGGCCACAGACAAATGACTAAAACACACAAAAATGACTGTAAATCAGTTAGCATTGTCACAGGAGGTGCTAACACATTTAGCATCATAACGTGAGGTGCTAACACATTTAGCATTACCAAGTGAGGTGCTAACACATTTAGCATCATAACGTGAGGTGCTAACACATTTAGCATTATCAAGAGAGGTGCTAACACATTTAGCATCGTAACATGAGGTGCTAACACATTTAGCATCGTAACATGAGGTGCTAACACATTTAGCATCGTCATGTGAGGTGCTAACACATTTAGCATTATCAAGTGAGGTGCTAACACATTTAGCATCGTAACATGAGGTGCTAACACATTTAGCATCATCACGTGAGGTGCTAACACATTTAGCATCATCACGTGAGGTGCTAACACATTTAG